ATTGACGTAATTGTAGTTATTATGAATATTAAAAACACATGACTTAAAAAAATTTCTAAGATTTTGCATATCGAGACCTTCAACTTAAGAAAGCAAATGCTTAATTCAAGATCTTTTGTAAAAGAACTAGTGGACTTTGATTCCCCACATAAGGGATACGTATGCACCTTAATTGACTATATTCTTTCATAATTATTAAATGTCAATTAAGCTCAAATCCATATTTAAATACAATTAGGTTGACTAAATCTCAACTACTGTAAAGTGCCAATGACTCAAATGTTGGCTTACTGTCGCGTTATTTTGCGATCATTTCTTCAAAATTGAGTTAAAATGTATATGTTAAGTAAGTATCTATAGGTGTTTTGTTGTTTGTGTCATTGTAGACGAAATTTAAAGTTCAAATTGTAATACATAATGAAGATTATTGACATGGTATCATTGTCCGAAATGAAGTTCATGTTCAAACATTAACGACATGTATGACTGTGATGTCACGTCAATAATCTTTATTAGGTATTACAATTTGAATGATAAATTGCGGTTGCAATACCACAAACAATAGAACAGGTATAGTAGGTACTTACTTACCATCTGAATCCTAACTCAATTTCGAAGAAATGATCGCAAAATAATGCGACGGTAAGCCCACATTTGAGTCGTTGGCACTTTACAATAGTTTGAAAAAATAACAAGGTAAAAAATGAATGTGTAATAAGAAAATAAATGTGTAACAAAAAAAAATAACTTTAATAATATAACAGACATTGAATCCGAATTCAGAGGATGACCAAGTCCGTGACAGAGTTATCTTGTTTGTGTTATAACAGGTTTATAAGAGATTTCAACACATAATACATAATGACGACTCATGGCGTGATGTCATCGGTGTCACTGATATAAACTTTTTGATTCAATGATGAACTTATATAATATGTTTCAGCAACAATCAGTAGCGATGATCCGAAAATTCAAATTCTTTTTCACGTGCAACAGGAATAACGATTTTGTCTCTCCGGGTCATTGTTACTGGTTGTTTCTCAAACACATTATTAGAGTTCAACATTAAATCAAAAGTTTGACATCAGTGACACCGATGATGCCACGTCATAAGGTTTTCATTATATATTCTGTTTTGAATTCTCTTATAAATCTGCAATGGCACAAACAAGAAAACTTTGTCAGGGACTTGGTCATCATCAGAGTTCTGAGTCAATGTCCGTTAACCACAAAAAGAACTACGTGGACTTTGATTCCCCATATGAGGGATACGTAGGCACCTTAATTGACTATATTCTTTCATAATTATTAAATGTCAATTAAGCTCAAGTACTTATTTAAATACAATTAGATTAGGTTGAATAAACTCAAGTCACATTCTTTTTGTCCGTGATATAGTAGTGAAGTATTAAAAAATTTACACTGCATCTAATATTTGTCGTTTAATTCCATAAAGGTGTAAATCTCAACTACTGTGAAGTGTTGACAATGCGAAAGTGGCCTTACCGTCGCGTTATTTTGCAACCATTTATTCAAAATTGAGTTAGAATTTATATGTTAAGTAAGTATCTATAAGTGTTTTGTTGTTTGTGCCATTGCAGACGAAATTTAATGTTCAAATTGTAATACATAATGAAGATTATTGACATGGTATCATTGTCCGAAATGAAGTTCATGTTCAAACATTAACGACATGTACGACTGTGATGTCACGTCAATAATATTCATTAGGTATTACAATTTGAATGATAAATTGCAGTTGCAATACCACAAACAATAGAACACATATAGTAGATACTTACTTATCGTCTGAATCCTAACTCAACTTCGAATAAATGATCGCAAAATACTGCGACGGTATGCCCCATTTTCGCGTCGTCGGCACTTCACAGTAGTTTGAAAAAATAACAAGGTAAAATATAAATGTGTAATAAGAAAATAAATGTGTAATAAAAAAACAAATAACTTTAATAATTTAACAGACATTGAATCCGAATTCAGAGGATGACCAAGTCCGTGACAGAGTTCTCTTGTTTGTGCTATAACAGGTTTATAAGAGATTTCAACACATAATACATAATGACGACTCATGGCGTGACGTCGTCGGTGTCACTGATGTCAACGTTTTGATTCAATGATGAACTTATATAATATGTTTCAGCAACAATCAGTAGCGATGATCCGGAAATTCGAATTCTTTTTCACGTGCAACGGGAATAACGATTTGTCTCTTCGGGTCATTGTTACTGGTTGTTTCTCAAACACATTATTGGAGTTCAACATTAAATCAAAAGTTTGACATCAGTGACACCGATGATGCCACGTCATAAGTTTTTCATTACGTATTCTGTTTTGAATTTTCTTTTAAACATGCTATGGCACAAACAAGCGAACTCTGTCAGGGAATTGGTCATCATCAGAATTCTTAGTCAATGTCCGTTAACCACAAAAAGAACTACGTGGACTTTGATTCCCTATATTAGGGATACGTAGGCACCTTAATTGACTATATCATCTGTCCTCGGATATTTATTAAATGTCAATTAAGTTCAAGTCCATATTTAAATATAATTACTTAGGAAACCTTTCATCCAACTTCGAAAGCCTTACATAAATTAATTTCTCAGTATGGTGGGGTTCATCAGCTTCATAATGCAATCCGACTCCAATACACAATCTCGAGTAATATCGCTATTTTTTTGTAGTGTCATAAAAAAACACGTTATTTAATGGAAGGTGTCTTTGTTATCATTCTTGTTGCACAAAATGTTTATACTATCACTACACAATTGCTGTGTGATGATGGTATAAATATATTGTACGAAAAAGATGCTAACATGGACAAGTTCCATTCATTAACGTGTTGTAGGACACTAGCAAAAAAACGACGGTATTATTCGAGGTTGTGTATTGTAGTCGGATTGTATTATGAGGCTGGTGAAACTCAACATACTGATAAACTAACTATTTTTGGACAAAGGCATCATCTTGTATCAAAGTTAATTTTGACATCACTGACACCAATTATGCCACGTCATAAGTTATTAAAAATTTCATAATAGTTACACACAAAAAGAACTAAGTGGACTTTGATTCTCTATATTAGGGATACGTAGGCACCTTAATTGACTATATCATCTGTCCTCGGATGTTTATTAAATGTCAATTAAGCTCAAGTCCATATTTAAATGTCACTTACTTAAGAAACCTTTCATCCAACTTCGAAAACCTTACATAAGTTATTTTCTCAGTGTGTTGGGGTTCATCAGCTTCATAATGCAATCTGACTCCAATACACAGTCCCGAGTAATATCGCCATTTTTTTGTAGTGTCATAAAAACACGTTATTTAATGGAAGGTGTCCTTGTCATCATCTTTGTTGCACAAAATGTTTATACTATCACTACACAATTGTTGTGTGATGATGGTATAAATATATTGTACAGAAAAGATGATAACATGGACAAGTTCCATTCATTAACGTGTTGTAGGACACTAGCAAAAAAAAAACAACGGTATTACTCGAGGTTGTGTATTGCAGTAGGATTGTATTATGAGGCTGGTGAAACTCAACATACTGATAAACTAACTATTTTTGGACAAAAGCATCATCTTGTATCAAAGTTTAAAAGTAGTTTCAAATTACAAAGAATAACACGAATGCTTAATCAGTTACGCTCGAATAAATGAAAAACTGGACATGAACGATGAAGCCACTAAACCTTTTTCGGTGTCGATGTCACTAGACGCTTTCAAAGAGGACGATAAGCTTATTTTGCAGGGCATCAACCGCTGAAGCCCTGCAATATAAGCTTATCGTCCTCTTTGAAAACGTCTAGTGACATCGGCACTGAAAAGTTTGAATGACTTCCTCATTCGTGTTCAAGTGTCCATTTATTCGCATGATAATCGATTTATCCATCATATTATTCTCTGTAATTTGATACTAATAAGCAAATCAGAAAACAATGTTCATTCCAATTTGGTCACAAATCACTGGAAGTTTGGAACTAATGAATAGGGGGATGAAATTAATGTGAAGTGTTGACGACTCGAACGTGAGTTTAACATTACGTTATTTTGCAATCATTTTGTCGAACCTGAATAAAAATTAAGATGATAAGTACATATATATAAGAGTTATATTGTCTGTGCTATCGCAGACGTTTATATTTCAAATCATAATACATAATGAAGAATATTGACAAGATATCATTGTCCGAAATGAAATTGATGTTGAAACATTAACGACATGTACGACTGTGATATGATGTCAATAGTCTTTATTATGTATTATGATTTGAAATATAAATTACGTCTACGATATCACAAGCAATAGAACTCTTATATATATGTACTTATCATTTTAATTTTTATTAGTTCGACAAAATGATTGCAAAATAGCGTAATGTTAAATTCACGTTCGAGTCGTCAACACTTCACATTAATTTCATCCCGCTATTCATTAGTTCCAAACTTCCAGTGATTTGTGAACAAATTTATAGCCACAGGTCTAAAAAATAAATACAAGTAATTCGAGACGTATTGTAAAAGAACTACGTTCACTTTCATTCGCAATAAAAAAAATGAACATGTATTTAATATATATATATATATATGTATATAAAAATATATACTTGAAAAAAAAAAAAAAATCGGAACCGGCGGTCTGACCCGGACCCGGCAGAAAACCGGCAATTTTCAGACCCGCCGGTACAGGGCCGGTTCCGATTCGCCCAAGCCAGGACCGGTGGCCCGCGGGGCCGGGCTGGGACCCGGCACCTGTCCATGTCTAATCTAACCACCCAAACAATGAACATTAAATAGAAATAACAACGTCTTCGCCGTTAAAAGCTAATATTAAATCAAAAGAAAAACAAAATGAACACCATTATCATCTTACTGTTCCCAGCTTTAAAAACAGTAAATCTGCTCCAAAATACAAAGGTTTATTAAAAAAAAANAAAAAAAAAAAAAAAAAAAAATTGACAATAGGACCCCTATTCGGCTTTCACGCTTTCTTCCGCTTCTGCCGCCCCTTCGGTAGTCTCCACTTCCCCAACCGGCGGCTCGCCGGAGACGTAATCGAGCAACCCCTCGCCGGGTTTCTCGCCTGAATCGTCCGTCACCGGCGATATCCGGTCGAAAACGACGATGGCAACGAGAAATAGGGCCGTCGAAACGAGCAGCGGCCAAAAGTACTTCAAGATGTCGACGAACCGAGGGGCCAAATAGCCGACGAAGATGCCGGAGAAAGCCAAAGCAAGGGCGACGAGAATTTGGAGCTTGAATCGGAGAAGCTGTGGGCGGATTTCCATGGCTGTTCTGCAAAATCTTAAATCGATATCACTTTGATTTTATATATAGGCTGTTCAGTATTTTTAGGAATTGCTAATTAGGAGTGGTTGCTCATTCGGCCCGGTGATTTTGCCTTTTATGCTTTGCCAAATAATGGTGTACTCTAATAATAACAATAATAGTGGAGATTCCTTAAAAAGGTTGTTTCCCAAAAATGCCCTTCTGGTTTTTACTTTAACAACCGACATAAAACGTGTATTTATACTTACTTTCTTGTTTACAATGATAACTTTAATTTTACTTGGTCAGGAATTAATGGGTTAATGTACATTCAAAAAATTGTTATCTGGCACAATTAAGGGTGATTGTTTATGGATTGGACTAGTTTTTATGGGCTAAGTCTATAAAAGTATTTAGAATTCTTTTCAATTTTCAGTTCAGTCCTTTCCTCTAATTTTCTCACTTTACTCTCTCCCACTTGCAATAAAATAATAACCCCCTAGTATTCCCATAATACCCTTATCTTTATTCAAGTCTAAAAAATTAGTACCAGTTTATTTTGGAATCGTACCACTTTAATAAGAAAATAGTACCAACTTTATTAATACGTAGTACCAAGCTTTTGTACCTGAATTTTTCACTTAAAAAGTACCCACAATAAAATGAACAATACCAGGCCCAACATGCTTCCGTAAAATTAAATAACTCCATAATTTTCGAATCTTTTTTGACCAAAATGGTTCCGGGTGAGATGGGTTGCAATTCCACCAGTCGAAAAATTAGTGCCCCTAGTTCCTTTCACGGACGGCTCCCCACCGTCTAACTTCACCAATGGGAAGATGAACTACAAGTTATCCGACTCCTTCAGATACCACTCAACACAGCCTTGGTTCGTTTCCTACTCCAGGCGTACAGATACTTAATTATGGAGGTAGATGAAAATTACGACAACATGTTGTGAAGCAAAAGCCTCTTTTTTATTAAGAACTCAAAGTGATTTTATTACATAAGTAATCTCCTTAAGGGAGTAGAAAACCTTTTAGCCTCTCATAATAGAGGCAAACACTCGTACACACATAAAAATTACAAAGAAAATTAAAAGACACTCAAGCTCACACACTATTATTACAGAGAATTTTATTTTGATGAGAAAACGGAAGAGGATGTTCGATGCCTTATGTTTCCTCCAAATCTTGTATTTATAGAGGTCTTGGAGTCCTTTATTATTGCTTGTACCAACCGGTAGGTAAATACCTTGTGGTCTTCACATGTTGATGGGTCCGGTTTGAAGAATTATTGAACCCACTTTCCTCTGTCGGTCACATGGTGTATGTGGAGCTGACTCGGAAAAACTTGTCTTTGCCTTTGGTGAAGGAATCTTTCCTTTTCCCTTGTCCCGCCATTAATTTGCTGGTGGGCCTCCCTGTCTGATAAATCTTAATCAGATTCGTCTTCTTTTGAACTTTTGAAATTCCGGTTTTTTGGAATTCCCTTTTTCTCCGGTTTGTCTTTCTGGCCAGGTCTTTCCCGTTTCATCGGAAATAATTTTTCGAACAGTGGTTTCTCTTGAATTGCACAACATGGACAAATTCGTGCCATCTGAGACCGTGCAACATGTTACACGCCTTTCTTCGTGTATTCTCTGTGGCTGCCAACTTGTTTTCCATAAGAATTTTCTTTTATTCTCGAACAAGTCGTTTGCAAACTTGGAGGTGTTTCCCGTCAAGGAATTAAGTAAAAATGATCCGTTTGGTGAATTTTAATATATTTTAAACGGATATTTTACCTTTTCCATTTCGGTAAGACATACCCACACTCCGTAGGCTCGTTGGGTGGAAATCTCGTCCTCCGTCATTGTTGTGTACAGAGGCGTTTCCTTGGTAGTACCGATATGAAGTAGCGCCTTTTTGTTGGGGCGTTGCAACTTAATAAAATGAAAGGCGGCATGCCTTCCATAATCACTTGCAGGTTAAATTTTAGCTCCAAAACTTCTCCTCTTTTCAGATGAGGATTATAAGACCACGATTCATATACGACTTTAGTAATCCATTCGGGTAATCCTGAAATCTTAGGAAAATTCGGCGCCTCAGTAAAAATTGAAGCTATTGAACCAAAGTCCATCCATTTTCTTACAGGGTTTGGTCGAGCTCCTTCCAGTACCCAAACTCGGGGATATAAACCAGTATCGTCAACAATAAACTTTTCTGGCTTAATATTTCTTTTCGTAATTAAGTCCTCCATTAGTGAATTGTAAACCTGAAAAGAAGTAGGAGAACCAATGTTTTTGTTAGTATCAACCTTTTCTCGACTTTTTTGTGGCCGTAGGTTGATCTCTTCCTCTTTTACCCCAGAGGTGTCGGGTTGACTTGAGACTTTAGACCTTTGGTCTTGTGTCTCTTTCTTTTTTTCTCCAGAATCTGAAGAAATACTTTCGTAAGCAGTGTCCGCTGCACCAGGTATAGGTTCCTGGTACTCGTTTTGAGTTTTCTTTGAAACCTCTTGCTCTCGGAATTCTTTATGGCTCACCGATGGTGATCCAGCTTTGCGTAAAGGTTCTTGGAAGGCATCCCATAATAAGGTGTTAGCCATCCTTGTACCTTTGATTGCTGATTCGACCTTATCTAAGTCGGCCTTTTGAACTTGTCCAGCTATTATGGCATTAAGCCTTAACTGGCCAAAACTTTTGTCCACCTCCTCGATGTTTTCGCGAAGGTGTCTTATCCTTTTGAGGAGTGCATCTGCTTCAGATACATCCATCTCTTGTCAAGAAATCTGCAAGAACATTTTCATGAGATTTAATAATGACAACATCATAATCATAATACTGACATTCAGCTTGCCATCGTAATAATCTAGACTTTTCTGGTTTTGATTCAATTTTGTTTTTCAGAAAAGCCTTAACACTTGAGTTATCAATTTTTAAAGTGAACTTTTTTGATAACAAAAACAAAGGCCATTTTTTGAAGCCTTCTGACTGCAAAGAATTCCTTTTCGTTAATATGCCATCGGTTTGCTTCACTGGTTGTAAAGAGTCCGCTGCAATATCGACATGAAACTTCTCCATTCGGAGTTGCTTTGGTGAGAACCGCTGCCCACCAATGATCACTAGCATCTGTATAGAGAACTAGCTCATCCTCGTCATTTGGCATTGCCAGCTTTGGAAGTTTTTGGCAAACTTTCTTTAACTGTTTAATTCCTTCCTCGTGTTCATTTGTCCATCTAAAATCTGCATCTTTCTTCAGGAGTGGACTGAAAACCTTTTGGTATTGTGCCAGATTGTTTATGAACATTCCTGCAAAATTAACAACTCCGAGAAAGCTTTGTAATTGTTTTTTTTTTTATCTTTGAGGACATCTGGGAATCCTTGTATTTTTCTCAACAATATGGTTTTGCAAAATGATTCCCGATTCATCAATCTCGATTCCAAGGAATTCAATTTGTCTTGTAGCGATTACTGCCTTCTTTTCTGAAAGCACCAATCCCTTCTTGTGGCAAACATCTGAAAATATTTCCAGGTGTTTGAGATGCTCTTTCATGTTCTTTGAGGCGATTAGAATATCATCAATATATACTAACATAAAACTAAAATAATCTTTAAAAAGATTATCCATCTTTCTTTGGTAAATCTGGGGTGCATTTGCTAACCCCATTGGCATCACATTCCATACGTAATGCCCTTGTGGTGTAGAGAAAGTTGTAAACTTCTTACTTTCTTCCTCTATCTTGATTTGATAGAATCCTGATTTACAGTCGAACTTTGAAAATACCTTGGCGTTCTTGATATAATTCACCAAATGTTCTCTGCTCGGTATGTAATATCCATCAAATTCTAAAATGTTATTAATACCTTTGTAATTAATAACCAACCTTGCTTTTCCTCTTTTTATTTCTCCATGATTTCGAACAAGGAATCCAGGACTGCTATATGGAGAAACTCCTTCTTTAATTAACTTAAGGTCCAAGTGTTCCTTAAGTATTATTTCCATATCCTCACGATCTGCTTGATTCATAAGGATGGGCTTGTATCTCACAAATTCATGTTCTTTTCCTGCTTTAACCTTTAAGGATGCCTTGAGTTCATTTTTATCCCACCAGGCTAAAGGATCTTCATTGAAATTTCTCTGGATTTTTCTTTTGATGTCTTCTAGTGAAATTTGCTCTTCGAGAGTTACTTCTGGTTGTAACTTCTCGTCTACACTTGCCTTGAGGAATTGAGTGGTTTCCGACTTTATTCTTTCCTCCTCGTAGCCTCCTAGACTTTCGATTCTTAACTGAAGGATTGCTCCTCCGTACTTTTTTTTATCCTTCATTTTTGGGTGTCGAAGTTTTCCTTCATCACCACGCTTGCTGCGAAATGTGATAGGCATTTTTCTATGAAATGCCTCTCTTAACCTTTGAACGATGATCTTATGTTCACAAAGAGTTGTAAAAATAAGTCTTCTTGTCTCATTTTCTTAATTAAATCTTTTGAAAGTTTGTAGGAAATTATTTCCTAACAAAACATCTGCTCATGTATCATTAAAATAGATTGGTGGTGTTTTTACCTTATACCAAGGATTACCACCAGCTCCGCCAATCATGATTTCTGCTTGTTTAATTCCTCTTTTAAGGATAAGAATCCTTTTAGAGAAATCTCTTCCTGCTATAGGGGTTAAGTCCTCTCCTATTTCTTTTGAAAATACTCCAGTTTTTGCTGTGCAAATACCTGCTCCAGAATCAATATAAGTTGCAAAATATTCTGCCCTATATGATTCATATAATATTCTGATTGAAATATAAATCGAGAATGGACTAGTTGTCATCTAAACTCTATATCTTCATCCATTTACTGTAAACTCCATTCCGTCTTTTAACCTTTCCCATGGTTTATGGTTTTCAGAGAATTCTAATCCTAGAACAAGTTGTTCCGGGATCCTTCTTGCTCCCCCTGTGATCACCGTTTCAATTTCTCCGATCTTCAGGATACCTTCATATTGTCCTATTATAGGTTGTTGGAGGTAATATAAGGCATCACAGGGAA